GAGTTTCCTGTTATTAGTTTCACCTCTACATGACTTACTTGAAATTTATCTGCCCTTTTTGGTTGTTCTTGTTGCCTAATCGACTTTTACTTGTTTAATTGTAGACAATTACCCTTCTGTAGTCACATTAGCATTCCTAACTGCTTGTCTTTATCTGGAAAGCATTATTCTACCTCTCGCGTGATTAATTGGTCTTAATTGGAAAGAAGTTAGATATCCCATGTTTAGTTGAAATTTCCTTAATTGTAATTATTTGATTCATGTTAACTTCCTTGTTGTTGAACTTAGTGTTATGGAATCGTTGTTTCATATTATTTCTCCCTTGTTGAGTTGTTCTTATTGCGCGTAATATTTCTCTGTCACGGTTATTCCTTGTGAGTTAGTTGTACCGTCTTTTGGTGAACGAAATTTCTTGAGTTGATCCTCTTGCTTTGTTCCTGCATATATTGTCATTTGTTGTGTTGCATTGATATCGTGATGCACGAGGTTTCTGCCGTGCGATTGTTGATATTATGATGCACGAGGTTTCTGCCGTGCGATTGTTGATATTGTGATGCACGAGGTTTCTGTCGTGCGGTTGTTGATATTGTGATGCACGAGGTTTCTGCCGTGCGATTGTTGATACTGTGATGCACGAGGTTTCTGCCGTACGACTGTTGGTACTGTGATGCACGAGGTCTCTGCCGTGCAGTTGTTGTTGAAGGGTTGCACGAGGTCTTTGACGTGCTATTGTTGCTATTGATGTGTTGCACATGCGGCGTAATAAGGCGGGATATGTTATGTGCTTATATGTGGGTTGCGCATGTGGCGAAATAAGGTGGGAACATTGTGATGCACGTGTGGCGAAATAAGGCGGTGCTTATTATGTTATTAATTGCACACGTGGCGTAATAAGGTGGGCTATGTCACGGGTTGATTGTAAAGAATTGTGACGGCCTGTGGAGGCCTTCCTATTTGTTTTATATTGTGATTGTGGGTTGCTTACCTGTATAAGCGTTACCGCTGGAAGTTGTGAGGAAACATTCGTACGTGCGGTCCATTCCCCTTTTTATGTTTTCTAATTGGTAGAATTCTTGTTAAAAACACTTGCACAAGCATACACGTAGCCGAACACTCCTAATAGAGATGAATTCCTCCTGATTTTTGCTAAGGGTGGAGGTACGCCCTCGTTATCCACTATATTTGGGAGAGTGGCCCTAGTTAGCCAGTTAGTTGTCAGCATGACCATGAGATTGATGGGGCACAGGATGCCAATTGTTAGATTTTCAGATACCAGGTCTTCGCGAGTTGTGGTTTGTCCGAGATTTGGTGAAATTGTTGAAAGAGTTGAGTAAGACCTTTGTGAACATCATTGTAGGATATGAGTTATTGACTTGTCCCCTCCCCCCCCCCCCCCTTGCTGTGTTGTGACCTTAGGATTTGGATTTGTGATTCTGCCGTCATTTCGTATCATCATTTATTATATTCTCGCTGTTACTTGTTGTATTTTTTTTTCCGTATTGTGAATTGTAGCATTTTTGGTCATTCATGCAGTCTTTACATAATTATATGTCGTTTCCATTATTCCTATGATTATACTATTTATTAACCGGTAGGTGCCTCGACTGTTCCTCGTCACTACTCCTCCGAGGTTAGTCTTGATGCTTACTGGGCACCGCCGTGGTGTGCTCATGCTACTCTTCTGCACATTTTTGTTGTGCAGATACAGGTATTTCCGCTCAGTTCTGTCAGCCTTGGAAGGAGGCGAACCGGTAGAGACTTCAAGGTATATCTGCTACGTCCGCAGACCGAGGAGTCCCTTTCCAGCTTTTTGTAATAAGTATAGCTTTTCCAGTATTTCTCATTTGTATAGATATTCCTGAGTCAGAGCCCCTTATGTATCCTCTTAGCTTGTGATTTGTGAGTTTCCGGGTTTTGGGAATGTTGTTAGCTTCGAGAATTGTTGTGGTATGTGCCGGGCGGCACCTTAAACAACGTTTTATTTTTCTAGTTCAGTTTTATTTACTTTCTTCCGCAATTATGGTTTATCTTCCGCATCGTTAGGCTTACCTAGTCGTAGGGACTAGGTGCCGTCACGACATGTTCACGGAGGACGAACTGGGGTCGTGACAAATATGAGTGGTTAACGGTTTACGTTTAACCATTTTATCACCACTGTACTTAAACTAATTTTGCGACAAGCTTATGAAACAAGGAGGACATCTTTTTAAAAAAGAATTTCCCTCAACATGAAGCTTATGGAGTTGTGGGGACAGGTTCCAAAGGGAAGTGGACAAATCTGTGGAACTTGGAAATTTTGACAAAATCGTGGACAATGAGAATATTTAAGTGATAGACAAATACAGCCAAACCTTTTTATATCAGTCTTATTTGTTCCGAATATTTTTGGATGTTATAGCGAAGTGCTGTTATAAAAAATATATATTATAACATAACATGAAAATTGTTTATGAAAAACCAATTGATTTTTATATTAAAATGTTATTATATAGGGATGTTGTTATAGAGATGTCTGACGGTATAATCTTTTCAAAGGAACATTTGTAAGTGAGAGGAGACATCCAGGAAAGAGCAGATGCATTTGGATAGAAAAATTTGCTTTCAAACTGCAAAACTAATTGGAAATAACGGACCACAAAACCAATACAGTTACGATCGAATTAGATGGTACGGTAAATTTTGTTTAGTGCGAGGAACTTAAAAGGGAATAAGAGGTTGGGAAAATTGAGAGTTAGAGCAATTCAGTGAAGTTGGACATAATATATACAGTTAGATCTCTTTATAACAATATCCCTATATAACAATAATTCATTATAAAAGTTAAGTTTTTCTTGGAACCGATTTTTATATTATGTTATAATATATGTCTTCATTACAGCATTTCACTATAACAACCAAAAATTATTGGAACAAACGAAATTGTTATAGAAATATTTGAGTGTAACATAACTACCAAAAGTGCTAACAAAGTGGGTCAGGAACAAAAAAGAGTTTTTTTCTTTAAAGAAAAAAAAGATAAATTTATTCATTAATAGAAGCATCATCTAGCATTTCACTCACTCAATTTCTTATTTCTTATTTTTCAATCTCACCTGTTGTAAATCCATTCTAAAATGCACTTTAAATAAATGTACGTTACATAACAAAAAACAATTTGTTTTAGCACCTATTGAACAAAATTTTAAATTTTTGGGGCTGTAAATTTGTGTTTAATAGGCACATTTTTGGCAACATTAGGAGTTCAATAAGCTAAACCTAAAATTGATGTTCAACAATAATAACAATGACCCAGTAAAATCCTACTAGTGAGGTCTGGGGAAGGTAGTGCATCCGCAAACCTTACCCCTATCCCGAAGGAATAGAGAAGTTGTTTTCGAAAAACCCTCAGTTCAAGAAGACGAAAAGAAACAACATTAGTACCACTAGTAAAAACTATAGGAAAAATAATATCATGAAAATGAGATGAATAAGAAGGGACAAAGGGAAGATGTCTCAACCTGGAAAGAGCAATGTTGGGATCTTGAAAAGGCAATCGTCATTTTCATAAGTAGGAAAGGTGAATAACTTTTACTACAAAAATATAGAACAATAAGAAAGCATAGGAAAAAAAGATATATTATTCCATTTAGAGCTCGTTTGGATTGGCTTGTTTTAAGTGCTTTTAAGCCAAAATAACTTTTAAGTCATTTTGTAGTATTTGGATAAAGTAAAAAAGTGCTTTTAAGCACTTGTTTTTAAGCTAAAATGACAAAAACAAGCCAAAAACCAAAAGTTAGAATTCCTAACTTATAGCTTAAAAGCTATTTTGGCTTAAAAGCCAAAGCCCATCCAAACGGGCTCTTAGTTATGCTACACGGTACATAACATTTGGCTAACAAAAGCTTCCAAGTATTGAAATATATTCTCTATTGAAAGCGAACTAATCAATGATAAGAACTACTCTAGAGATAGGGCGAATTTATTTACTTTCTTAAGGTAGGACATATTAGAACGGATAGTAGAACTAGGGATAATCGTGAATAGTTTTTTTTCCTTTTTAAAATAATAATAATAACTGGAATGTTTTGCCATTTTATAACAAGTCACTTTGCACCAATTTTCAACAGAAAAATACTATAAGCACCCAATTAAACAATCATTATGTTGTCTAACGCTCTGCACCATTCTGCCATTAGTTAGCCATATAAATTGAAAGCTATTTTTCTGGACGAAGGAATAAGAGTCAGCCATTCTATTGGCACAACATAAGCCAAAGATTGTTGACCGAAAAAACTTAACTCAGCTTGTTATCAATTGATCATCTGCTATTTAGATATACATAATACGAACAATAAGCTTCATACATATTGTACCCTGCATAATTTCCAAAATGATGAAGAGAAATGTAAATTATAGTCAAATAAGGCGAAAGCATAAGAACCAGCTTTGCCTTTGGTGCAACAAAGCAGTAGTAGAGTTTTGCTAGTGTTGAAGATCTATTGATCAGTAACAACAAAATTTTATATATTTCCACAAAATCACATCAGACCTTGGACATATCCATTTTCCACAAAACCCCAGAATACTTCTACAGACAACTATAAGAACTATGCATACAACAATTGAAGAAATGACACAACCTTTAGAAAGATATATAACACATAAAATTTATTGTCACCTGTTAAGCATATTGTCTACATCAAAGTTCTCCTTTGTTTAAATAAAATCTCATTAGGTACTCTATTCTTTATAGCTACCACAATGCATCAAAGAGCTCATACAATGACACAGATTGTAGGATTGTCCATATCAAACACAGTAACATAATATGCAAGATCGATTAGTGGTTAATAGTTCTTTTTTACAATAAAAATGCAAATAATGCATTAATAGTGACAATCAACTAAAATTATTTACCTCTAATACAGTAATACTATTTTATGAATCATATACCTAATAGAGATATGTGCTATTTACCATACATCAAAGAAATGAAAGCCATCGAAAAACCCATAATTTTCTCAAATTTGTCCTTGTCTTTCATCTCTGCTTCCAAAAGATAAAATCATTCCAACACCTTTAAAAGCAATAACAGATACATCAAGATCACTGAACCCACCAAATGCTTCAAGAACAACATCGGCAAATATACTCAAAGGGGTTAAGTGAGTAACTGAAATGGGAAACAACGAATGACAAAGAATGATGGACGAATAATTTAATCCGCTTAAACAATTTATATGCAACAGCTTTTTTATTCCGAAAATCAAGAAACTAAAACTCACCTTATAACTATACAATCAAGGCGAATTAACTGTCCAGGAAGAGAGAAGATTAAAAGAAACAAGGAAAATTGGAAGAGGAGGTGAGCAGCTCTGGAAATTTTGAGGAAGAAACAGAGTGTAGAGAAATCGGGTATTCATGCGTTATGTTGCTAAACTTTTGCCATTCTATTTTCGATGAAGAAAACTTGTTATTCTTCCCAGAGAAAACAAATGTATATGTGTTTGTTACCCTATTCATTTTTCTCTTCCCTTTTAGGAACATACTCCTAGCAATATCAGCTCAGTAAGCAAGCCGCCATTTTAGCAATTGAGAATGCTTAAATAAAGGAAAATAAAATATCTTATGCAACAAAGGCACTGAAGAGATTATGATTGTCTTCCAGCTGATAATTGCAATTGCGCATCATACCTCCTCTGATTAAACAAATATGCCTATAAGTGTATGGTAACACAAATACTGTTAAAACATCTTCGAGTGGCAAACAACAACCTAATAACATAAAAATAAAAAGTTTTAAGGGAAAATAGTTAGGTGCTAAATTTTATCATGCATTTCCTGTAACATGCTCACCAAAAACTGATGCTATAATAGTAACAATACCCAAATTAGAATAGTCAAATAATTAAAATCAAGCATCGACTTAATAAACAAAAGAAAAATGAGGTATTTTAAAGGAAACTGAAGAAAATACACAACCTGAAAGGTCTATACTCCGAGGCTATAGTTCCAACATGTTGTGGTATATGATCAATCATTCATAAAACATCATTCATTCAATGATCTAGATGTAACGACCCGACTGGTCGTTTTGCCTTTTGAAACCCCGTTCCTTTAAATAAAACTTCCCGTGCTTGCTTTAACTAATTTACGACATGCGGGGACGGTTGGTTCGGGAGTTGGAAGAGTTTTGAGTGAAATATGCCCAATTGTTTCTTTAGGATTCTCTTAAAAGACCAAGTTTTAACTTCAGTCAACTTTTTGGGAAAACGGACCTGGACTCGTGATTTGATGGTCCTGGAGGGTCCGTGGAAAAATATGGGACCTGGGCGTATGCCTGGAATCAAATTCCGATGTCCCTAGCCCGAGTAATGAATTTTTATTTGAAATTGTTAATTTGAAGTTTTAAAGAATTAAAGAAACTAAGTAATCATTGATTTTCTAGGTATCGGGCTCGGATTTTGGTTCCGAAGCTTGGTACAGGTCCGAAATATCAGTTAAGACTTGCCCGTAAAATTTGGTGTCAATCCGAGTAGTTTAAGGGTGTTTTGACCCGTTAGAGGAGAATTAAGAACTTGAAGTTCATTAGTTTGATTCATTTGGTTTTAGGGGGGTGATTCCTAGATTTAGCGTTGTTTCGGGTGTTCCGAGGGTTCGAGTAGGTCCGTCTCGTGATTTCAGACTTGTCGGTATGTTCGGATGGGGCTCGGGATCCCCGAGCGTCAAACGGACGAGGCTCGAGTGAAGTAGGAAATTTGGAGAAGAGCTGAGTTTTGCTGCTTCTGTCATAACCGCATCTGCGGTTCTAGGACCGCAGATGCGGGACCGCAGGTGCGGTCCATTCTCCGCAGAAGCGGCACAGGGCAAGCCAGGCCAAAACCGCAGATGCGGCTCCGCAGATGCGGCCTGTAGACCGCAGATGCGGTCCCTGCCCTTTTGGCCCAGTTACGCAGATGCGGCTCTCCTTCCGCAGGTGCGGGACCGCAGATGCGGTCCCCTAACCGCAGATGCGGAGATCGCTGGGCAGTGAGCTTCATTTAATTCGAGTTCAAAGACCATTTTTATCATTTTACACTCATCCTTTGGGCGATTTGGGAGCTCTTGAGAGAAGGTTTCCACTTAGCATTGCAAGGTAAGTTATTTCCATTCATCCTTAGTTTAAATACATGTATATTAGGTAGATTAAATACTAAAAACTAGGTAAAATCAAAGGGTTAGAGCTAGACCTAGGGTTTTAATAAAACTAAGATTTAACAACGAAATTTGTTATGAAATGAACTAGAAATCGCATATTATTGATCCTTAGGTTGTAGAAAACAGCTTTCTTCGAAAAATCTCGGAATCCGGGTACGTGGGCCCGGGGTCGGAATTTAGGAAACTTATGTAAATGGTTGGGAAATTGCTTAAATAGCTAGAATTCGATCTTGTGAGCCTATATTAATTAGTTCTTACTTCATTTAACTAGTTTGGAATCGTTCGGCTCCAAATTGAGGGCTTGGGCTTGTTCTTGATAATTGGAAGTGCGCTTTGGAGCGAGGTGAATCTCCTTTCTAACCTTGTAAGGGGGGATTGTCCCCATAAGTATAATAATTGAATAAATTGCCATTTTATATGCGGGGGCTACGTACGTACTAGGTGACGAGAGTCCGTGCGTAGCAACTAATATGCTAAGTCCGGGTAGTCTAGGGCCCAAAAGCATATTCTACGTGATATTCTTGTAACTTGATGTTAAATTCGGAATTTGTATGAATTATGTGATTAAGGTAAATGCTACTAGTGAGGTAACCTTATTTTATTTCGTCCTTAAAAAGAGAATTTAGATATTTCCTGCGAATTGTTGCTCCTCAGATATATTATTGTCTGCTTGTGATGATCTTATTTATGTTTGAACGCGTCGCACGGGTGATTCGCGAGCGGGGTAATAGATGCATCTATGGTTCGAGCCGTTCGACCCTCGGCAGTGCACTATTTACTTTTATGTTGGATCGGGCCGTACGTTCCTCGGTGTTATCTGCGCATGATTTACTTAGCATTCTATCTATGGACTGGACCTCATATTTTTTAAATATATAAATGGACACTCATGATGAAAATTAAAAGAAGAATTGATGTTCCATACTTGTTAATTCTTATGACTTGTGTTGTTCCTGCTTATTATAAATTCTCCTCATTTTACTTGACCTTAGTAAGTATCGAGTCGACCTCTCGTCTCTACTTCTTCGAGATTAGACGGGATACTTACTGGGTACATATTGTTTATGTACTCATGCTACACTTCTGTACTTAATTGTACAGGATTTGAGGCAGGTGGATCTGGTTATCATCCTGGTGCGCATCCTTGAGCGGACCCGAGACTTCTACGGTGAGCTGCTTTTCCTCCATGCCGATTAGTGATAAGTTAGGATTTTAACATGTTTTTACCCTTACTTGCCTACGCTTTTGTTATACAATTGCTACAAAATAGACCCAAAACGCTCACAAATTGTACTTGATTGCAGGTTTGATCGACAAAGCGACAAAAGTAAAATATCGGCTCAGAAAGGAGTGAAACCTGCTCAAGTGTCAAAGACCAAGGAAGTTGAGGAAAAGAGGCCTTAGTGCGGACCGCGCAACTGTGAACGCGACCGCACTAGGAGGTTCAGAGAATGGCAATATTCAAAGGGAGGCTACGCGGCCGCGGTCATTTCCACGCGGTCCGCGGTCAGGCTCCGCGGCCGCGCTACACTTTTACGCGGTCCGCGGAGCAGAGATTCAGAGAGCCTAATTTTGACCCCTTTCCAAGCAATGCGGCCCGCGCTCATTTTTGTGCGCTACATTTTCAAGCGGTCCGCGGTCCTCAACTTCAGAGAAGCAGAAGCCAAGAGTTCAAGAGCCAGTCCGGCCGCGGTCATTTTTGCGCGGTCCGCGCTGACCCCGCAGGGGTATTTTTGTCCAATTTTTCCAGCCCAGTATAAATAGACCCTTTTTCCATTTTTAGGTTAAGTTTTGTTTTTCTGAAGCTGTTGAGCTCGTGAGAACGCCTAGTTTAGCCATTTTAGGCATTTTTACTCTTCAATATTGTATTTTCCTCTTAGCAATCAATTTATATGTTTACTTCTTCATCTATTTCTTTAATTTTTGCATCTAGCATGTGTAGCTAAACTCACTAGCTAGGGTTGTGGCTCAACCCTAGTGTGGGTAATTGATGGTTGTTGCCATCTAAGGTTAGATTGATATTGGGTGTTTGCTATTTGGGTTAATTTTAGGTTTTAATTAAGGATTGGTGGTTGCAAACACTGATTCTAGCTTGGTGGGTTTAACTCTTCTTGAGAAAGAGAGTCTATGACCCCAAAATTGACCCAACAAGGAATTGGGATGGACCCATGAGAAATGGTAGTCCCAATTAACGGGTTAAACCTCGAGAGAGTAATCACCCTACTTGAACCCTAGTTGCTTGGTCTAATTGGCCTACCCAATTGGTCTCGAGAGAGTCAATTGGGCAAAATCGCTCTCTCTACCGAGAGGTATGAGATTGGGTACAATTGTGCAACGGTTATAGCATAAGCCCCAAACATGTCAATCTACCCTTAGTAGCATCTACCCGTTAATTAGCCACCTAGGCAATGTCACGACCCTACTGCCTTTCTCTATATTAATTACAACTTAACAATATTCCCGTAGCATAATTTAGCTCTAAACATTAGTCATATAATAGTAGATATAAAAATCAAAACCAAAGATGTTTGAAGTGATATTAGAAGCACGACCGCAATTCTAGACTAAACAGATAATACAACTCCCTCACTAGCTCCCTGTGGAAATTCGATCCCGAACCGCTATTCGGGTAAAATCTGTTGCGACCCGCTCTTCCTACCTTAGTGTAGTGTTGAGTCGGCAGCGATCAATCAGCAGCTTGCAGAAGTCTTTCTTTTGTACTTTTTCTTTTGCTGTCTATCCTGATTCGAACAGTAGGATAGTATGATTCTTTTGTATATTCTACTAGTTGTCCGTAGCTTGTGACACCAGGTTCTGGCACACACTTTGGTAGACATTTATTTTTGAAATTGTATAATCATGGTATTTATTTTATTGATCACTTCTGATTTAAAACTCCAAATTGAAGTATCTACTTTATAAATTTTGATAAAAGTAACATAAGAAATTTAGAAATGTTTCCGCGTTGGCTTGCCTGACAATGGTATTAGGCGCCCTCATGACCTATTATGGAAATGGGTCGTGACAATAGAAAGGCTTAGGACAACCAAACACAGTGAGGATTCCAAGGGTGTTGCTCTTCCTATAAGTTGGAGAATTGATTTTCAACTAACCTCGAGTATTCCTGTCTATATATAGTAGAGATTAATAGATTATTGAAACTTTACTGCGGAAACTGAACATCACTGCAAAGCTTAGCTATAAGCTTATTTCCACAACAATATGGACCAAAATTGATGCACTACATGTTAAAAGCTAGACATGACTTGCATAAATCACTTAGCTTTCACTGAAGCATGAGTCGATAACTTGATGTACTGCAGTTGATCATCATTTGAAGTCTACCAAATTGGAACTTCTGGAACTACCTTATTGTTGAACATGGCATAAAGAACTACTAATATTGTAAGTAATTTAGAAGAAGGTGGCAAGGGTTCGGTTGTTCGCCACAAAAAGAAAGTGTGCAGAGCCCCGACATGTTCTTTAATACAATAGCTTTACCAATCAGCATTTTCCCCTTTTCCGGTGTGTTTCTCTCTTCTCCTCACTTCTCTTCCCTCGTCCAATTTCCCAAGCTCTAATCCAAATCAACTCCAGAAAACCAGTGAAATATGTCAAAAGAGTATTTCAATTTGTTCTCAAACTCCACCATTGTTCCTTATTTAGCCAGGTAAGGAGCAACTCAAATATATATTCAGAATTGCAGTATAGAAGCAATTATACAATGGAATAATTCATTCAGGCAAATGAGCAAACACCTTATGGCCATTTATCTGCACTATCCAATATAAGCAAGAGAGCTCATGTTCTCCCAGATTTTCAGATAAAAAGAAGCAACAATAATTCCAGAACACGGGAAAAAGAAAAGAAAAAACTGAAAAAATAAAACTCATCTAATAACAGAGAGGAATATTACACAACACCAACTCGGAGAACAACATGAGAAAGTAAAATAAATCATGAAGTAGCTTTAGCGAAAATCGGACAGACGAAAGGAAAGTGAGGAAGAAGATTGAAATTAGCCAGAAGAGCCGACAGTAAATAAACATGTGGTGTCTGCCACGTTTTACCAATCCTCATGTGCCGCTCTCTGAAGAACATATCCGCTTAGCTCCTTAACCGACCCTTAGGACAAATACATAATTGTTGGAGTATTATTGGTTTTTCCGTAAATGCACATGAACCGGAAGCTCCTCTCGATTCCCCCTTATTAATATTAATAATAATAATAACTAGTGGGGGACAAAGATATATTGTTATCCTTCCCATTTTGACTGTAACATATCAACTGGAATGTTTTACTACCATTTTTTAACAAGTTGCTTTGCAACAATTTTCACCAGAAAAATACTATAATATTAGACAATCTTTGTGCATTATGTGCTTCCCTCCCATGACAGTATATGAAGGCTCGGGCTAACGATGTAATACACTGTTCCAAGACAAAAGATAAAGAAAATAAACAAGCAAACTTATGGTCAGCTGGTAAGTTTGAAAATAGTTAGGATGGCGAAGGGCATGCATACGGTGAAATGTTGAAGATATATAAATCTACTGACAGTAAAGGCCATCTAAAATGGGTATCAAAAGCTGAAGATTAAAAAAAAAAAAAAAAAAAAAAACTCCCTAGCTGCTCATCTACAAATTGTCACGATTCTCTAAGTAAAGATTTTGAAGAAAGAAATTCTACCGTTTAATAACAAATACATTCAACAAGAAATAACATTTGCGCTACGTCGTTCACTAAAATAATTGCCTTTTTTGCAGTTTCTTCTAGAGTTTACTCTTGGCAGCATATTTTAGGATCAAATGCACATGTTTCTGCATTAGTAAGTACGATCATCAGTCTGCTGAAAGATCTTCTTAAGACCCAAAATTGGGAGCAAGCAATGCAGAAAAAGATACAGAAAGAACCATAATTTACCTCGTCGTAAAGCTAAACATAAGGTGTAAGAGTATTTGGATGGCGAAAGTGGCTTTGTATTTCTACTTCACGGCAATGCTAGTGCTCAAAATGGGAGTGTTTTAGTCGGGTGTTGAACAACAATTTTAATATGACCACATGATTGCCCTATTTGCATGAAAGGACTAACTTTATGTATTGGAAATGTGATCATAGAATGTAATATCTGTCTAATAAAATTTGAAAAATCTTTTATCTTTTTGTCCATAAGATATTATCCTCAATCCTCTCTTGAAATTGGAAAATGTGATAATGTTGAAACAACCGAAAATTAGGACTAATCATGAAAAGACTTTAGATACAAAACTGAGAACCTTAAAAAAATTCAGAAAATTGTGTACACAGAATAATAAGATAGGCAAAGAACAACGGACCTGTGGAAGAATCTTATGTCAAAAACATCAGGCAGCTTCTTTCTTAATGATTTCATCATAAACAATATTAGATGTAGAATGATCGTCATGGCTAATTGGTGTAGAGGGTCGTATCAATAATTTCACACAATTTGAACTTTTGGCTCTTGATAAGGCAACGTAAAGCTGACCGTGTGAAAATATAGGTTCTCGCAAATAAATTCCAACAAAATTTAAAGTTTGCCCTTGTGCTTTATTTATAGTCATAGCAAAACATAATCTAACAGGAAATTGCGTTCTTTTGAACTGAACAGGCATTTTTTCATCTTGTGATGATAATAATGATATTCTTGGAATAAATACATGCGTATTCTTGAAATCACCTACTGTGATCTTAACACTAATAACACGACTTTTAAAATCACAACACGTCAATCGTGTGCCATTACATAAACCTTCACATGGATTTAGATTTCGTAATAATATAATTGGACAATTCTCTTTTAAACATAATTTGTAAGGGGGCAAACCAGGAGGATTTAAAGTGTGTAATAAATCTTCTAGTTGTGTTTGGTTGTTAAATTCAATAGCCTCATCAGTGCAAATAAATATTTTTGATTTTCCTCTGAATCGCATGTCATTAATTTCATCGACGAAGTCAATTTTTTGTTGTCAAGATCACACGGGAATCTGTACAGGATGAATTAGAATACGTCGAATTCAAATTTGAATATGTCGCTGCGAATAATTTGTCAAGAGATTCTCTTTCGGTTGTATAAGGAATAATCAAAGAATCCTGAATTTCAATCTTGTCTTCTGAATTGACTCGTTCTTGTCCATTTCCAATTCTTAACAAATAATCGCAAAATACAGGATCTGTTTTGGCTCTCATATTCTCAGATAACTTTAGTTTTTCAAGTTCATTCCAAATGCTAGAATATAACAAACTTTCGCCAATAAAATCTTCTTTTTTCCTGTATCGTATAACGAGAAGAGTTTGTCTGAAATCACCTCCTAAAACTACAACTTTTCCGCCAAACAATGCATTTGTATTCATGATATCTTTTAATAGTAGATCAAAAACTTCTATCATTCTTTTTTTGGCCATAGATACCTCATCCCACACAATCAATTTTGCATCTCGGATTAACCCTGCAAGTGAGCTTTCTTTGCTAATGTTACAACTTGTATTTTCATCGATGTCAATAGGAATTTTGAAACGGGAATGTGCGGTACGTCCACCTGGAATGATAGAAGCAGCAACACCAGAGATAGCTATTGCCAAAGCTATATATCCCATTGATGGTACAGTTGCTAATAAACACGATATAAAAAAGTTTTTCCTGTTCCTCTTGGACCATCCACAAAAAAGGCACCTGCTTTGTTCGAAAATATCCTTTCAGTAATCAGATTATATGCAATGAGTTGGTTTTTGTTCAATTTCCTATATAGCAATACGTCGTCTTCATTAACAATAATAGATCTTTCAAAATGAATCTCTTTTGCTGCCGCAGAAGACCTAATGGTTTCTGGGATGAGTTCATACTCATTTATATCATGACCCATAGAATGTAAAATATCGTTCATATGATTCAAAGCTTGATATCGAATTTCTCTTCTTTCAGTAATTTGTAACACTTTGTAGTCTTCGATTATTGATTCCTCAAATTGCTCCCATAATTTTCTAGGGTTGGCAGGACCGCAATACACTAATAATGTAGCAAATAAACGCCTTAAACTATATGGCATTTTGTAACTTGCGGCTTCATACATACACTCTATCAAACTATTATCACAGTGTAACAATCCTCTTTTCTCTACGGACTCTCTGAAAGTACTACAAGGCTCTCCATTAACAGTCAAAAGATCCTTATATTATGTCGGTCCTCGCACATGCATTAGTAGTAATCTAAGATAATATCGTGCTCCTTTTGTTGGATGACATGTCAGAATACATCCAACAGCACAACGTTTTTGTCTACGCGCCCAAAATTTGTCACTGGAAGACCACACAAAGTATTCAGGAAATTCTTTATACAGTAAATTGAGCTCTTTAGCATCTTCGCTAGTTTCATTCATAGAGAAGAATTCTGTTAATATCGTTTTTTGGATCATTGGATTATTCACAATTGTATGTATATCTGCATTGCTCTTAAAGAAATAAATTGTTGACCTTCAAGATGTAGCTGAAGAGGGTAAACACTGGGAGACATTTCACTTATTGGAAAACCAAAGAGACGCCAAACAGCTTCTGGAGGTGATACCCATCTAGCAGATCTGTATTCCTTTACCTCATCTATCTCTATGTTCGTATCGCTATTTTGTACACAGAACACAATTTTATCATGTCCTTTACAAATGTATCTGTAGAGATATTTCACGACTTCGATATCAGAGCAAACTTCAACATTTATGTGACAATTGAATTTGCCGAGCAAATATGGATTGTACGGAACAACCCAGGAGTTATCTAAATATTGTTCTCTTACTTTCACAACTTCCCCTGTATTTCGTCTTCTGTAGACCGGGTAAGAATCGTTTCCTTTTGTTGTCTGATCGGCAAACATTTTTGGATATTTGAACTTGCAGTAACCCTTTTTTTTCATACAAGAATTTGTTGGATCTAAACTACCGCAAGGACCGTGCATCATATGTTTAATGACAAGCTTACGCAAATCTGGTTCTGTTTTATCATCTGGTAATTCCGCTCTAATTATATTATCATATGCCTCTGCTGTCAACAGTTTATGCTCATTACCTAGTATAATAAGAAAATGAGCATGGGGTAAACCTCGTTTTTAAAACTCCACGGTGTACATAAAAGCAACAACTTTTCCAAAGATATTTCGTTTTAATATATTCGTCTTGAGTTCTTCTATTTTAGCCTTGAACACTCGAGTAATCAAACCAGGTCTATTTTGTGCCTCGTCAGTTGACCATAGATGTTCTTTTATTTCCATCCAAGATGGGTTACATGTCATAGTAATAAACAAATCAGGTTTCCCAAAAGTTGCACTAATGCAATAGCATCCATATAACGTTGATGCATATCTCTAGGACCTCCTATAAAAGAATTTGGCAGAAAAGTTTGCTTTCCAACATTAGAAGCATCTCGTTCACCCAGTCTTATAATATCAAGAAGTCCTTGCAGTATACCCATTCTGAATAAATCTTGATTGAATGAAACAAAGTCTAATCTTTGTGTCTCCAATTTTATATATTCATCAACTGAATACTGCTGGAGTAATCTTCCTGTATGCAAAATTTCATCTTCATCATCGTTTCTCATTTGAAGCTTGTAACAGTAGTATTCACGAACTGAAACTGTATCTCTTTTGCGTTTTCCTTTTTGCAGATTTTGAGCTTCCATATCAAGATATCCATCAACAGATGTGAAATTTTTTATACTCGTCAATTGTTCAAATTCAACCAGAGTAGGGCTTCTAGGAGTTTTTTTTTTTACTTTGGGCAACTTTTTAATACCACAGTGCCACCCGCCTTGACCATATGGAAATAATAACGGGTACTGTAATGGGTCATAACATCCAAAATAATAGTTCACTCTTTGTATCATGTCGCTGTGAGTATAAATTTGAAGATGTGGCGCATGAGTAGCAGAACCATCATTTTCATCAACCCATATTGCTGCAATTTCAGTAGTAGTAGGCAGATTATATACACGTTGATCTAATCTAGCATCACTTTTCAGTGCTATATGAAAGTTTTGCAAGTTCGACATATCTGTTAAAGATCGTAGAAATATTGAATATGGATTATCCTTTAGAATTTCCATCAATCCTTTCACTAATGATTCATTTAACTTGTCTGAACAAGCCATTCTATTTCCAAGCTCATTTGCATTATCATAAAAGTACAGTTGCAAATTTCTTGGCCGCCTTTCTCTAGGATATAAATCATCTATCAAATGATACATCTGTCCTTGAACTCTGAATGTATATATACCACGATTTCTCTTTGCTAAATCTTTGTCATAACTGACACCAAGTGATGTAAAAGCAAACAGATTATTATATGTTCTAATATACGTTCGAAAATGCTTGGATTCTGCATTATTTCCCATATATAAATTTTTCAGTTTAGCTGGCATTCGATGAGAGCTTAACTTTACTGTACCATTGCCACAACAAAATCCAGGGGGTTCATATTCAAATTTTTTCGCGTAGCAGAACAAGCAACTTGGAATATTTTTTAACGGAATATAATCAGAGCGTAGTTGGTTAATGTTAATCGTAATTCTCTTATTCTTTACACGGCCTACATAGTGCGGATAATTAATTGTAAGAGATAAAAATAAAATCAATGATAAAATCAATGAAGAATGATGGTTATACTAACCTTTAGTTGTAACTATTTCAAAGGTTGGAGCGCATGAATCATTTGCGGTACCCGATGTTGAACCTGGTTCATGATAGTTATCAATTAATTAATATGCAGAATACGTACAAGAAGTTAAATAGATACATCATCTTTATGTTTTTACCTTTTTCAAAAACATGAAAAGGTTGGGTCATATCATTTTCCTTGTCAAAGACATCGGACGACAAAAAAGCTCGACGCTGAGTAACTGCATGGTCATACTCGTAAAGATGACATATTTATTCATTGTGTATGTATATATTATAAAAGCAACGAAAAGGATAGAGCCTTTGATATTCTAACCTGTTTATGAAGAAGAACAAGACAATCCAATATTAACATCATCATCCATATGAGATATTGTTCCAATGCGATTGATATGATTTGTATCTGCAAGAAGGCGATTAGTTGTTGTCTCGCGAATTTTCAAGCGTCGTTGCAATAACTTTTCTTCTTTCAAGGTCATTCCTAAACAATCGTCTATTTTACGGTGTTTGCTATTCTTATCATGAGCTACCGTCACCGAGCGATGACCCTTCTTTGATTGTCGAATATCCATTAATTTGATTTTGTTACAACTATTGGTACTCTGGTTGTCCTAAACATTATACAACAGTATAATTATGATTTTTTCATCAAATAACAAGAGATATGGAACAAAGAACAATTAAGTATAATGAGCAGAAACGATACAACTATTTAACCTTATTTATTTCGGTGTAAACACATATGGGAGATGGAAGGGAAAAGAAAGACAAATTCACAATTTGCAAAGTTATCGAGAATGGGCTTAACACTGCGAAGACCAACTTTTTGTATCTAACTGTCAAAGCCACCGAGGAAAACGGTAAATTATTGTCATGTTGACCAAAAAAATAGTTCATTATTTAACCCTTCAAGCCATTAAAAACCTCTGCTTCTTCTATATGGTAACTACTACTAACTAACTAAAGCTTTGTGCTTAACTGCTTGTGCACAAGTATATATTATGTTGAAAAGTAAGCTACATATTCTATTCATATTTCACCCCACTTCTCCTCCTTTTCTTTCCCGTTAATTTTTGGTGACTTAAAGCAGTATAAGTATGTTAAAATTTACTGTAAATTTTAATGATAGAATTTGGATTTTCGCTTATTCATTTGCTTCTTTGTTAGGTTCTTGATCCAGCAAGGAAGGCTACTATTCTAGATCTTGAAGTGATCAGTTGTTTATTATTTCTCTTGCATTTACATGATTTTCTTGTATTGGAGTACTAATGCAAGTTTCTAAATTCTGAAGTTCTATTTTTCTTGACTATTGAAATGCTTTATTGTTATTTTGACATATTTCTGCTACTTCCTTGATTAAAAATTTGTTCTTTTTAATGAATGTTTGTGTTATAACATTCTAAATTAGTTGAGTTAATAGAAAAACTTAATGAAACACTGCACCACGTTTATATATCTATGTTTTTTTTTTGCATCAACTGAATAAGCAATAACACCATTGCCCGATTCCGAATCTGGCATCGGGTTGTTTTTTCTTTCTCTTTTATTTTAATTCAATCTCTTTTAGAGGCTTCCTTTTAGTTAAGACTTTCTGTTAGGAAGGATACTCAAATATCCTTTTTGTTAAGACTTCCAAGCAGATTAGCATTTAAACTGACGTTTTCATGCCTTGGCACTTGCAGCTCTAACTTCATGAAAAGGGGAAATCATAAATAAATTTTGAGGTAGTCCAATTGTTAGAGGGTGTATTTTAAATTTAGGCGCAATGAGTTAATACAATATTATAAAATAGGTTAATATAAATGCGTTACAAGACAACTTAGAAGATGAAAGTCTATGATTAAGAAAAACTTGAAAATATTAGATAGTTTTTTGATACTTGCGCTCAAGTGTGTAGCCTAGAGGTTGATGAAGTTGTATTGACGACAATGGGAGACCAAGGTTTCAAATTCTGCAGAGGCTACAATACCAAGGCTTCTTTTATCCAATTGCCTAAGCCTAAGGAATTTGGTGTAACGTAATTCAGAGTCATAGAAGAAAACTGAAGTAAAACTTCCCTACACCGTAAAAGATGCCTAATTCACTATCAAAACTAAATAAAAGAGAAGTTAGAGAAAGTTTCTAACCATCAAACTACCTAAAATCAATTAAGAGCAAAAATACAGGCAAGTGTCTATAATTATCATGAATTGGAACCTAGAAAAGAAGACAAATAAGCTGCTACAACCAATTAAACTACTAAAAATTCTTTCCATTATATGTAGTCCTTCCTTCCCAATTTATGTGATGATATTTCAAAGGAAAGAAAAAGAAGATAAGCAAGCAACTATAAAGCTTACCCTTTTTTAACTAAGAAGCAGAGAACTCCAAGAAACTCAGTGTAAGAAGCAGAGAACTCCAAAAAACTCAGTGTAAGTAGGAAGCCGAGAACTTGAAAACACAATCCTCAGTGTTTATAATAAGGATTGGATATAACGGACAGGTGAAGTTGGGATTTTTTTACCGGATGAAGAGAACAGAGGAGAAAGTCACAAACAAAAACAGAGCAGATGACAATGATCCTACAGTGAACAGCACAGACGCGGTAAAACTTTCTAAGCACACACGCGTCAGAGCGAGAAGAAAAGCGTGTATCTTATTTTGTACGCTGGATGCCTTAAGGTTTTTTCTAATTTTTCAGCCACTCCTATATGTTAAAGAATAGGGGCAAAACAGGAATAAAGAGGAGTTCTATGGTTTTTTTGTAAAATCACATTGACCGGAAGCTGCTGCCGATTCCCATTTCTAAAGAGTAGTATATATAGTAATATTTCTTCAAATCCAACCCGTAAAGCAAGAAAAAAGCACCTTATACTTGTCTAATTCACAGAAAAGCACATGTCATTGTTGTTGTTTAACAAAGAATGTAGGATACTCCGTCCATCCACCACCATCATTATCTTAAACCATCTCAAAAGATTTAATTTCTTAATATCTATATACATTTAGTTTTAAAATAAAACTCCAAGTTTTTTCCCTTTTCGTTGCTATGTCTTTTTCTCTCCTCCCACAACCCCATCTTCCTTACCAAAAGATTGCCTTTTCCCCCCTTCTCCAATACATCAGAACTTGATTAATATGTTGAAATAGAGAAGCTAATACAATATTATGAAATAATTATTTATTATTATAAATGAAATATTAAATCAGATATCTGGGAATGCTTATTAAATGCGAAATTGTTCAAATTTGAAGTCCGACCATGGAATAAATTTTAATTTGGAAAGTTGGGAAGAGTGAATTTATCAAAATCTAGATAAATGCAGAATTAAAATAACTCCATGGCTGATTAGCAAGAATTATAAATATCACGGTGTTCTACTTACTTAAATTGATGAACTTGGGAATTTCGAGATTGTTTGCATCACTCAGCAACAAACACAGTCACCAAAAAAGTCAGTTGAAGTCAAACATAGAAGGCGATGGCTTTTTAGGAAATGACAGGACACATTACATCTGAAATGACCAAACTGCCCCTCATTGGAAGTGCCTTTTAGGGACTGATAATAGGTGAACTTGACTATAATCACACCTTAAATAATCACCTTCTTGTGTAGTTTTAATGTTAAAAGTAATGACAAAATGCTCTTATTAGTGCTTTTCATGATTTGTAGGTGATATATGTATAAGGAAGGCTAAGGAGCAGTTTTGGAGTCAAAAGTGATAAAAAAGAGGCCAACTGTGAAATTTCCCAAGTGACCCATGCAAAACAGGCCGAAGATTCAGAGAATTGGATCCACCGTGGTTCCACCGCGGCCGCGGCAGAACCGCGGTGGGAAGCAGCTGCAGAAGATTGAGAATCCGCGAGGGTGTTTGGCCAATGGTATTACTGGGATGAGCCCTATTTGTTTAGAATATGCCTTGATAACATGATCCGGAGATGCGTCCCCGAGATCGAACAATCTTCTGTCTTGCAGGCTTGTCACGCTTCGGCGTATGGAGATCACTTTGGAGGAATCAGGACGACAGCTAAGGTGCTAGAGGCCGGATTTTTCTGGCCAACGGTGTTCAAGGATGCTCACTTATGGGTCAAGAGCTGTAATGAATGTCAACGCACCGGGAACATTTCCCGGCGTCACGAGATGCCCATGAACCCAGTTCAAGAAGTGGAAGTGTTTGATGTTTGGGGGATAGATTTCATGGGTCCCTTCGTCAGCTCCTATGGCAATAAATACATTCTGGTTGCTGTAGATTACGTGTCCAAGTGGGTGGAAGCTGCCGCATTACCCACCAATGATGCTAAGGTGGTAGTCGGGTTTCTAAAGAAGAACATATTCACCCGCTTTGGGACACCGCGGGCAATTATTAGCGATGGAGGCACTCATTTCTGCAACCGGGCCTTCGAGAAGTTGTTGGCGAAATATGATGTGCGCCACAAGGTGGCTACTCCGTACCACCCACAGACCAGTGGACAGGTTGAGGTGTCCAACAGAGAGATCAAGAGCGTACTGACAAAAACTGTAAATGCTACAAGAACTGACTGGTCAAGGAAGCTGGATGATGCGCTATGGGCTTACAGGACAGCATTCAAGACACCAATTGGTATGTCACCATATAAGTTGGTGTTTGGGAAAGCCTGCCACCTACCTGTAGAACTTGAACATAAAGCGTGGTGGGCACTGAAACAGCTGAATTTAGACTTGGAAGCTGCGGGCACGTCGAGAGTCACGGAATTACA